ATTCTGTGTCTCCAGTCAGTTGAGGCACATACAGGAAGCAGATACAGGCCGAATGAGCAGCAATCACAGACTGCTCATGCCTGCGATCCCCTAGGGGGTCCAGGCACAAGTAAAGCACAGGCTCGAACCACAGAGCACAGAGACTCAGTGTGTAGTGATGGCAGGGTTCTGGGTCGCCTGCTCTGCCCCCAGGAAGTAGATGGGAAATACCTGGCTCTTTCTGCAAGTTTCAGCTGGGAACCGTGGAGGTGTGAATAAAGCATGAACTCGAACCATGGGACTAGCAGCTCTTGGAGCATTGGCTCACTCGGTGCAGGGCGCACACATGGAGGGGCCACATTGCCCCTCCCCGCCCCAGCTAGAGAAGTCCCCAAGGCTTCTGAGTGAGGACCTCCTGTCTGCCACAGGTGCACGAAGGGCAGAGACTGCACGAGGAACGTTTTTTTGAGCTCACAGTGTGTAGAGGTTTTGGTCTGTAATGAGTAGGCTCCAAGCCAGGGTGGCCTGAAGACAACAAAAGCAGCAAGAGCCAAAGAGGCGGCAAGAACAGGCCTCTTTCCCTGCCATGTAAGGTCGGCAGGTGGTCCAGGCCCCAAAGCACTTGTAGAGCTCACATAGTCTCCCAGAAGGAGGATGTTTACAAAGTAAGGACCCTGGCTCCCTGCTGAGTCCCTTAGTTATGCTTCTGAATTCCTCAGGTTGATACAATGTATCAACCATTAAAATGGAAAAGCTTCATTCTAACCCTGGCTCCAGAGATCTCTTACCCTTAAGTTTTTATTGCCTCTAATGTAGATGGAAGGGAATTACCTAGAAATGCATTTTGGATAGATGCTCTAGTTCATTGTCTTTGGCTTTTCCTATTCCCCACCCCTCAGGTGTTTAAGCACATCATCCAGCAAACACATGTCCCAGAGTCACATCGCTAAGAGCTGATTTGGAATCATAAGAAGTAATAAGATGTAGTAATGTTAATTTTTTTTAAAGGGACAGTAAAACCCCCAATAAAAATGATACAGAATTTTGAAACAAGATAGGACATTAACAATGGTTATTATATTGTTATGGCAGAAATTCCCCTGGCATAAGTGGAGCTGTATTCCACAAGAGACCCAAGTCTATTGAGAACAAAACCAGAGTTTAATTTTGAGGCTAGCCACCCTCACTTCCATTTGCCAATCTGGAAGCGGGCCATTGGCCAACTTTGTTTTACCCTATATACATTTTGGTTGCCATTGGCAACAGATTGGGATGTTACATTCGCTGACCCCGGTGGGCATATGGTCTTTCTCTCATTCTGTTGGACCCCAGGTCAGTTGCAGGTCGCATGTCAAACCGTGATAGATGTTTCCCCCATTACATTCCATTTGTCTCCTTTTTTACAACCGATACATTCCTTTAGGGTTACAATGTTTACCTAGGGCCAGGAGATGGAACTGCCCAGGCAGGGTCGCAGAGGGTTACCTAGGCCTAGGCGCCCCTTATCTTGGGGGGACATTCCTGGGCAGAGTTGATCTGGGAAATTAGCTCTTACAGTGTCCCGGGAGGCTTCCCCAGGTACCATGTAGGCTTTGACCAAAACTATTTTATCTAAAATAATATGCTAAGATTCGTTGCCCCCTACAATATTACATATTGTTATCTTCAAAGTATTTGCTCAGATTACTAGGTACACAGTGGTATAGGTACACCCATGTTTACTTTAGCACAATTTGTCATAACAAAATCTTGGAAACAGCCCAAATGCCCATCAACTGAGGAATGGATAAAAAAGATGTGGTATTTTTATACAATGGAGTACTACTCAGTTACGAAAGAAAATAAATTTGAGGTAAATAGATACAACTAGAGGCCATAGTCATAAGTGAAACAAATCAGAATCGCATGTGTAAACATTGTATTGTCTCCCTAGTGTAAGAAACTGAAAGAATAAATAAAACCCAAAAGGTACAATAGATATAGTGAAAGAGAAAGAAACTTCTGAGAAGGAAAGAACAACTGGTATGGTGGAAAAGAGAACAGAAGGAAGGAGGGAAAAAGATAGCTAAGATAATTATACTACTTATTTCTGTTCACTGAAATAATGTTGAATTCAAACTGTTTTTAAATTTTAAGTTAGAGGCTGCTAGCTAGTTGCTAAAAGTTATTTTTTGAAAAACAGAATTATAATGTTAAAAGTCAAAAAGTAACACTGTTGAGTGCTCAGCAACGTAATTATGCAGCTTGTTGAAATATGGTGTCCACTAGCTCTTCTGTAATTTACCCAGTTAAGGGATGGGAGTAGGTTTTTTTAGTTTCTAACATTTATATTTGCAGAGATGAAGGTGATGATAATGTAAGCTTTGATGTTACATTAATAGAATGCTTATTAAGGACCAACTCTGTGCTCCAGATATTTCATGTATAAGATGGTACACTGTGGTGATTTTCATGTCACAGAAGTACTTGGACATTGACCAGAGTGCTGTCTGGGAAAACCTCTAATTCATAAACTAAATGTCCTCTAACTTAAATGAAGAGGGATAGGAAGAGGACTTGCTCTTGTCTTTATCTGTGTTTCAATGGAGTTAAGTTAAAGCTACAGGACTGAAGAATCCTGGCCTTTCCCTTTCCTCCATGACTACTGTTGGAAGGGCTTTTGCAAGTTTTTGTTCAATTGCTTGAAAGTATTTCACTTAGGTTTGTCTCCCTTTCATTTATTTATTTTTCATTTTAAAAGATCTTTAATTATAATAAAAGCATGTAACATAAAACTTAACCATCTTAACCATGAAGTATACAGTTCAGTAGTGTTAAATATATTCACGTTGTTGTGAATCTTTTGAACTTTTTCATCTTGCAAAACTGACACTGTGTACCCCTCAATCATTAAATGCCTAATGTACCATTTTGAAATGCCCATAACAGTGGAACACAACAAAATTTTTTCTCTTCAAATTTTTGTTCCTTGAATTTTTCTGGGTAACATATATGAATTTCATGCAAAAATTTTAAAAATTGCAGTCCGGCATAATGGGTTTAACCAACCTCCCCATCCTCCTCACCCCAGCCCCTTCTCTGTGATGTTCTGCTCTCTATCTCTGTAATATCGGGTCCTTCGCATCAGTGTGGGTCTCTCTCTCTGTGACTGCCCTCTTCCACGTTGTGCTGTGTCCTCAAGGTCCATCCACAGCCTCACCTGCGACTTCGCTCTTCCCACGGAGCATCCACTGCTGCTGTCGTGTGTCTTCTGTCTCAGCTCTGACTTTGTTCAGTTTTTAGTATTGTATTAGTAGGAGTTTGCAGTACATAAAGATAACATTCCTTTCAGGGGGTTGGTACATTTACAGAACACACATTCATTCTTTTCTCACCCTTCCTCTGGCCTTTCTCCACCTCTTGGTTCCCTTCCCATTTGCAGATCTCTTGCCATATTTCTCATTATCTGTCTTTTATATAATTTTAAAACAGCTTGAGAGGTCTCTCCACGAGGCTTCAGGCTTCATAGCAGAGTGGCAGCAGGAGCTCAGTGTATCTGTGAAATGCTGGCATGTTGCTTCCAGGTGAAAATGAGCGAGGCGTCTAGATGTGCATGTGGTTAAAAGTTTAACTGGTAGTTCATGTTTAAGTGTAAAGAACTAGGGACAGATTCTCTCCTACACTTCACTTTGGATTTCTCTGTAGTAAGTTTCTGTCTTTAGTTATTAACATTATAGTAGAAGAAAATTAAGAAAGTCAATTTGTATTTTTCAAGACATCCATTCTCATGAGATTGTTACTTTAGCTAACATTTGAATTTGTTAATACCACCAGTAGGGTCTGACATCAGGAAATAATTTCCTTTATTAATGTCTTAATGAAAACATAAATCTGAGATTTATAAATTTATTTTGTCTTCCGAATATTTAGTTACAGAATATAATCAATTTATGTAACTTGGGCTTATCTGAGATTGGTTAGTTGTTTTCATTCCCTTTAACTTCTTGGTTAATGTTTCATATTCGTCTGTTCTTACTGTGCGTGTAATCTACAGCCCATCAACATGGGAACTTTTGAAATAATTCCTTACACGTTTTCCAAAAAAGTGTTTGAAAGATTGCCTCACTCGGTGACTTCTCGCATCAGTTTGAGAGTAGCTCTGTACTTCTGACATCAAGTGCACAATGGTAACTAAGAATTACAGCCGTTTTTTGAGTTAGCTGTGCACCAGGTAGCTTCATTATATTTTGGCTGAATTTCTAGAACAGCAGTTACTTGTAACAAATTGTAAATGAAAAAAAGCTACTGATATTCACAAACCAAAAAAGATATAATTTGATTTTTTTTTCCTGGTTTAACATACCTCATTTGCATTGATTAAGGTCAATAACTGAGGAAATATATATTCTGCAATTGTAGATATATATACACACATACATCACCAGATAAAGTTTTTTTTAATGTTCACTAAGATTTAATTGGACTTATATATCATATTTATAAAGGAAACAAATGAAATCTACTTCAGGTGAAAAGAGCAAGTGACTCTTGCTGGTACTATTTTGCTGTAAGAGTGTCTGTCTTCTCTCAGGGAAGGATGGAGCAATCACTGACTTAAAATTTCTGTGTCATTTCAGGATGATGATGACCCTTTCATGAGCATTAATTCTTTAAGAAGAAACAGAAGATAATATATTTAATGAAACTTGCAAATTTCCAAGATATAGGAAAAACTGAAACATTGCAAGATGAGTTCACAGTTGAGGAGTTTTTAACTGTTGCTCCTAACTGAGGAATCTGAAGAAGACTTAACAGAAACTAATGTTTTTTTTTTTTTGTCTTTTTGAAACAGGATCTCACTATGCAGTTCAGGCTGGCCTTGAGCTCCCTTTGTAGCGCAGGCTGGCCTCAAACTCCCAACAGTCCTGCCTCAGCCTCCCGAGTGCTGGGTTACAGGCGTGTGCCACCACGCCCGGCAGAAACTAATGTTTAAGGGTTTACGGTTTAAGTATTATTTCCTGAACATAACTCACATGACTCTATTAAGATAATTTACTTGTTTTAATGACATAAATATAGTATTGGTTCTCCTTATTTTTTAATCTGGTTATTATCTGAGGATGGTCTATACAATTTAAAATATTTTCCTGACATGTTAGTATATATGTCACTCAGTAAGAACTTTATCTGAAGATTGTCCTGGTTAGGAAGAAAAATAAGTCCACTATAATCCATTTCTGCTTCATGATGAGAGACTGTGTTAGTATCTCAATGTTACATTTAGCCAAAGGAAATGTAGAAAGGAAATTGAAGGAAAGAGCTGATAAAATGTAACCTTGCTGTGTGTGATGACACATGCTTGTAATTCCAGCACTGAGGAGGCTGGGGCAAGAGAATCATGTGAGTTCGAAATCAGCCTGAGCTACATTGTGAGACTTGTCTCAAAAATAAAATTAACCCCTTCATAGTTTTAGTAATTTCCTAGAGCTTCTGGATATCCTGAAGGTAAAAAATAAAATTTCCTATGTGAAACCACTAAAGCTCACTGCCCAGGGCACCCAGCCTAGACTGAGCCGCAGGGAGCGTCCGCTCATGGCTGTTGCTGATGTGTTCCTGGGTGAGGCTAAGAGTGAAGGCATGGTCACTAAAGCACCCTTATGGGTTCCTGGGGAAAAGGAGTGAGGCCTTTTCTCTTTAAAAAGTCTCTCTAGGGTGTGAGAAGATCTGCTTAACATGATGCAGTGAACTGCCAAGGAAAGCGATTTCATGCAGTTACAGAAAAAGAAATCTCTCAGCTAATTCATTTTGTGAATTGTTTGTGTGCATCAGGCCCTAGAAATATGGTGAATAAAACGGTAAAGAAAAACCTTCTTGATTGAATATTGTCGCATAGTTAAGTGTGATATGTCTCCTTGATTTTCTGTACTAAGGCGTCAAAATGTTTGTTTTTATGTGACAGTTTTCAGTGCTGTTGATGTCAGTGTGTAGAAATCTTCCAGATGATTCCAGAGTACTTACAGTTGCTTTGAAGGCCATGAGAGAGAAGTAATGAAAATGTTCTGAGGTGGGGCTGGGGATTTAGCTCAGCGGCACAGCGCCTGCCTGGCAAGCACAAGGTCGTGAGTTCGATTCCCAGTACCGGAAGAAAACCAAAAAAAGAAAATGTTCTGAGGAAAACATTTGTAGGGAGTCCTCCCATATTCACCAAAAAGTCTCTCCCTGGTGTCTTGTTCCCTATCATGCAGATACCAGGTGAATGGACTGAGCTTCTGGGCAGTTCTAGGAAGGACTGCCTGTGTAATCCTAGCACTTGGGAGGCTGAAGCAGGAGGATTGTTGCGAGTTGGAGACCAGCCTGGGCTACAAAGTGAGCTCAAGGCCAGTCTGAACTGCATAGCGAGACCCTGTCCCAAAAAGAAAAAAAAGACACACACACAAAAAAGCCAGGCATCTAGGCAGGTGACCTTTAATTCAGGGACCTATAAAACATTTTTTTCATAAGATTCTGAACTTACTACCTAGAGTAAATACAGAGAAGTCATGCAATTTAACAAATAACTAGAGCGTGAATGTCCACGGAATCTAGAATTTCGCTGGTACTCTGGAGCCTCTGGAGTGCTCCCTGCTCTGAGTGAGATCCAGGCTTTGTCCCTCAGGGTGCTTACTCTGCCACAAGGTGGTGCTCCTCCTATATGTACAGTTAAAGTAATTTAACCGCGGTGTTGAAATGAAGAGGCGGTAGTGCAGTCAGTAGTACTGAGTCTGCGCGGCAGTACCACGGTCAGCCATCTGAAGCTGTGTGCACATTGCCTTGAGTGTCTCAGCGGATTCAGCTTGTCACTGGGAACTACAAGCTTGTTAAAAAAGGAAATTCTTTATTAAAAATGTGATTTTAAAAAGGCTCCCAGTGTATATTTTTTCTTTGAAATGTGAAACATTTTAATGCAACTTTCCCCCAAAGTGATCTGATGTCCATTTTGTATCTGTCAGACATTTAACTCATAGGACTTTGTGGCATTTTGAGGTTAACTACCAGTAATATTATTAAGAAAGTTGTACATAATAAAATTTGGTTTTTCAATTTAGAGAGCTTCTGAATCCTTGAATGAAAAATGCCCACATTTGATCATTTGCTTACTTTATTTCAAGAATTCTGAACTTAGTTTGTTAGAAAATACTAGAATTTTAGTTTGATTTCAGTTCACATCGGTTGTTATTGCCATGAATATTTGTATATCCTATGACAGATCACTAGGTCTGACTTTAGTTCTTTTTAAATTGTAAAAGTAATACACATTTGATTTTTCAAAATTCAGACATTGAAGCCCTTATCAAAATGCCTATATTTCCCTTTAATTTTCTCACATACAACTTAAAAAAGTAAGGTACATGTATCTCCAATTACTTGGCATGACTAGTAAAAATAAAATTTTTATTTATATATATTATATATATATATATATATTTTTTTTTTTTTAATCTTTTTGAGACAAGGTCTCACTGTGCAGTTGAGGCTAGTCTTGAACTCACTTTGTAGCCCAGGCTGGCCTCAAACTTGCAGATCCTCCTGCCTCAGCCTCCTAAGTGCTGGGATTACAGGCAAGCGCCACCACACCCGGCTCTAGTAAAAAATATTACTGGATTCCAACCTCATGTTGGGCAGCTGAGTACCCAGCTGTATGTCAAGGTGCATTAGTACCTGGGTACTTACCTGGGCAGCCACATTTTCCACATCCGCGTTCACCCTTTAAACCATCAGCAATGTGTGACTTGAATGCTGTTGTTCATTTTAGGTCAGATAAAGCATATTCAGTCTGGAACGCTTTCATGTCTGAAGTGGTAGAGGGATTTTTCAAGGGCTCGTGGCTGGTGATTGCATATTGTAGTAAACTAGCCCGAAGAGGCGCATGGGGTCCTGGGCTCATGACAGTGTATCTTGTCTCTCAGCTGCTGTGCAACCCTGATGATTCATGTGCTTATGCACCAAATTAGTGGGAAAATACTGGTCATGTGAGTTTAAAGTTTGTTACTTTGTATTTTTTTGAAAAGTATTTTTATACTCTAAGCTTGTGAACATAATTTGTCTACTATTAAATACTTGAACTGATGGTGCACTATATGTAAATTTGAACAAATTTTGCTAGAGACAAATAATTATCAGATGACAGGCACAGCTGCATTTCTTTTGGTCCTTCAATAGTCTGGAAATATGGAAGGATTTATTTTATATTCACCAAAATGCTTACCATAAGCTGAAATAACTCCATCATAGTTAACACCTTCTATAAAAATTTATTACAGTAAAGAACTTGTTTAATTAATTAATCCCCCTCAAAATACTCTCCCTGCTTTCAGTACACTTATTCTTCCATCCTTACTACTTTGTAAAGCAGTTTTGGAAGTCCTGTTTGGTGAATGTCTTTATATGGGGTATGATCAAAAGTATGGTGAATGCTACTGCCAGGTGCCATAGGATGGGAAAGCAGTTTTATACAAACATTACGGTGTGTCTTCATCTTATTCACTGGATCTGGTACCATGTGACTTCTGGCTCTTCCTGAAAATCAAAATGACATGAAAAGTAGACATTTTGAATGGATTTAGAACATTGGGGCAGCAACAACAGCAGTTAAAGACATAAGGAAGGACTTCCAGAACTGCTTCACAAAGTGTCAAGAATGATGGGATACGCATGTTTAAAGTGAGGGGGTGGGTATTATAAGGGGAATTAATGCCAACATATCCATTACTGTTACAAAGTTTTTAAGTTACACATTCACCATATTTTTTCAACTATGCCACATTATATATATATATATATATATATATATATATGTATCATATACGTACATTTATGTTCATATACAAACATGGACACATGTATTTTTTTCTTGTACTGACGATTGAACACGGGGCCTTCGCTCTAAGCTATATCCTCAACCCGTTTTCTATTTTTCATTTTGAGACAAGGTCTCACTATGTTGCTCAGGCTGGGTGCAAACTTGTAGTCCTGCCTCAGCCACCCAGGTACTGATCCTTGGAGAGCAGGTTTTGGAGTCATGCTCTGTTACTGCTCGCTCCTGTGTGGGTATTCCTGAGAGGTAAAAACATTCTCTTCTATGACCACAGCACAGTTCGTCTGCAGTCCGTGTGCTAGTTTTGTCAATTGTCCAGTAACTCCTTTACATAGAATCTTTTTTCCTGTAGTACAAGGTCTAATTTTATTTTTTGAACATGTTTAACATTAACATGCTTCACAAGGTCTAAACCATTTAAATGTGCCCTCAGAGTCTTACTCATTGTCCTATTTTTCACCCCTTCTGCTGTGCTTTCTACATTTCTTTTTGCAAAATAAGCACAATTGTGTATATCTTAATTTCTCCTTTCTTACACAAAAGATTTTATGCTATATATATTCTATTAAGTTTATTGATACATGTTCAGTATACACAATGTTCACATTCATTAGAGGGTTTTTGTACCTGTATCTGATATAACTCCATTCTCTTCTTCCTTTTCCCATTCTTGTCTGAACGTTAGGTCCTGAAGATTGCTTCATGAACACGTCTTCCTCACTTTATAGCTTTACGGTACTCTTACAGTTTTTCATGTTGGTCTCATATTTGTGCATTTTGGTAGTTTCAGTATTTACAAACAATCACTGCAGTACTAATGTGTTAGCACTTTCATATTTTGGCAGTGTGTCCTCTGAGAACATTCTCAGCAGTGTGACAACGTTTTGCTCAGTGTCGCCACATCCCTGTGACAGGTGGACGCTGTTTTGTAGTCCACCAAGAGGGCTGCCTATTTCGCCA